AACGCATTTTCCCAAGGACATGAAGATTGTTTTTAACCCAGGCAGACAACCGTGGCAAAACACTATTTTTACTCGTTCAAAGCTACGCATTTTATCGTAAAACAACAAAAAAAAAATGCGTTATAATATGTACTTTTGAGACATCAGAGCGCGTTTTCCCAAGGACATGAAGATTTTTTAACCCAGTTAGACAACCGTAACAAAACGCTATTTTTACGCGTTTAAAACCACACATTTTTTGGTAAACATAACAAAAAAACGCGTTCAATCGTGCGCTTCTAAGACGTAAAAACGCGTTTTTGCGTCGTTTTTATCTGACTGAATAGAACCAGATTACCTTAAAAAGTAATTGGTAGGATTTTATTACATAATGGAAACAGAATCGTAAGAAAATATTTATTGTATTGTCGTAAATATTATGTTTGAAGTCAGTGTATGTTGCCATAGTATGTTATTAGTTAAAATGTATTAAAAAAATAAAATTGTACTTTACTTCAGAAAATTTTTAACATATGTACTGAAGAGAACGAGTAAACAGAATCGACTTTATATCATAAATAGGTCACTTTAAAGCACTTAAGTGCAGTTATATTCCACCTGAATGTATCTTTCTTTTTGTATTAAAAAGGAAACGAAATCATTCTTCCAAATTGATGTGTTTCTTTTGAATTTATTCCATATAGATATTACTCACATCCCGCGATTTTAATCCTTGCATAATATCATACTCTATTAAACTTATTCAATGAATTTTTTGTTTTTCTACAATTTTAGAAATAGCGTGAAATTAGAATAAACTAATTTATATTAAATATATGTAGGCATATGTTCAATTTATACTTTTAATCAACTGATAATAGTACATAAAATATTAAATATCGCATATTTTATTATATACGTCAAATAGACATGATAATAAACTTATTGCCATGTTTTACTTCAGAAAAAAAAAAGAAAACGAAGAAATCATGCAGCTATAACTTCAACTGTAAAAGACTAGGAAGTAAATAGTTAGAGGACAAATAATTGACGTCACAGTTTTTTCTGTTCTCTTCTCCACAACTTTTTTTTTTTCATTTCTATTTATAACATTGCGTTCTTTATTTTTTTTACAAATAGGCAAACATTTTTTTTTATGCGTTATGTTATATTAAACGTAAGTAATGTGTATGATTTTTCAAAATAACTATTGTTATTTATAAGATTTATTTACTAAAAAAACTTTAGAATATCATGAAGTAGAAATCTTTTAAATTAATTTTTTTTGCTTCATATTATAGTTAATTCATAATTTTTTAAGATTAAATGACATCCGGAAAAAAAGTGTTTTTATGTTCTTGTTAACCTCTATGATAAAGAGAAAAAAAATTAGATGTTAATTCTATTCTATATAGAAACAGGTAATTATTCCAACTAAAAAAAAACGAGATAACTAGTAAATATAGAGGTCATATTTAATATTCTAATAAGTTCGAAATACATCCTTCTCAATGTTCAACCGTAGATGTTCTTTTTCCCTGACATAAAATATAAGAAGAAAAAAAACATCGTCTTCGTCTCCTCTATGAGTGACATTCTTCATATTTATTTTGTGATGAAAACATGTCATTAATCTATAAGCGTAAAAAGAACTTATACTTTTTTTTTTCTTTATAAGTTTCATATTATAGGGAACATTAAATAGTTTTATACTTACTTTTCTATTCAGAATATATTCTATTATTAATCGATTGTAGACATAAAATTTATTATATAATTTTATTTATAGATTTTCAAAAAATTATTTTATTATCAATAATATAGAATCCAATGGCATTTCTTTTAAATCCTGTACGACATAGACGTTCAGTTTCGCCTGTAGTTCAAAGTTTACTTGAATTATGTGTTCATTATCAACAACAACAACAAAATAATCAAAATAATTTAACATCAGCATCTAATGTAAATACAAATGATGTAAATGAACGATCAAGACAAAAGATTAAATTATTAGTTAAACGAATAAATAAATCAAAGAAAAATGGCTCGACTGAAGATCTTGTACAAGCTATTTTACATAAAAATTCAACATCATCATGTATTACTATACCACGGTGAGTTTAAAAGAGAAAATACGATTCATTTTCACTAGGGAATATCACTTACACTTAGTATCAGTAAGATATATAATATTAACTAACAGACTATATTAGTTCGACCATATGTGTATGAGAAAAAAAAGATAAGTATGACATGTTTATGCTAGGATCATATTTAAGATTGATTAAGAAATTTGTAGAATACGATACTATCTGATGCAAACAAATGGTACAAAGACCGTTGTATTTTGGCAGATACTACAGAAAAAATTTTTGATCAGAAATATAAATACGAGTCAAATTCGAGATAACGATTATGTCAATATAAGGATATTATGGAGTATAAAACAGTAAGAATGATATTTCTCAACTGAGTTGAACAGAAGACGAATATAAATATTTTTTATCTACATGTAAAATATATTATTTCTTTTATTAACATAAAAATTTATTTCTATAGGTCACCTGATGCCTCCAAAGATCAATCATCACCATCAAATCTAATCGTTGAATATTGTCGTCTTTGGCGTTGGCCGGATTTATCCGGTCAACATGAACTTAAACCTAACGATTATTGTCGTCATGCATTCCATTATAATCATGATCATATTTGCATTAATCCATTCCATTATGAACGTGTACCACGTATGTATATATACCTATCTATGAAACATTATTGTCTATAAAAAAAATTTGTTATTTTTTAAGGTTCATATTCCGTTGATGTTCCACGTTTACCAGTTGGAGCTCCGTTTGATATACGCTCAGCATCAATAGGTGATACACTATTCAATCAAATGCCTCCAAATACAGCATTCGGTCAAATGCCACAAAATACAACACATCAGGATCCATCGGTACCAATACCATCTCCACCAGTATCATTACCATCTCCTCCTAGTATTACTTCTCAAGGTATATAATTTTAAATCACATGATAAAATTGACTAGAAACTAAAGGTTATGAGTTCGAATCTATCTGAGCGATTTTAATTAAAGCTGATAATCCTTATCATTATGGATTCGTTGATTAAGACCGTATACAGATCATTTGACGTTTTGTTGGATGATTTCTTTTCTGTATACGTTCAGCATAAAATATAAATCGCAAAAATTAATCTGAACTAATAGTACTACGAGTTATCTTTCAATGAATTCGTAAGCCTCCAATGTTCGTACAAAATAGATAATAAAAATTTTATGTTTGTTTTTTTTATCTTTCTATTTAGATTCTTTTCTTTCACCAAGTTCTGATGCTAATAATGATGAAAATCAACAAGAACCAGTAATTCCAATGGATTTCGATGATATATCGACAATGTCATTAAATTCTCAACAAGAACAAACTTCTCCTTGTGAACGTATATTATTTCAAGAACCACGTGAATGGTGTCATATATCTTATTATGAATTCAAACATCGTGTTGGTGAACCATTTCATGCAACACAACCTGAAGTTATTATTGATGGTTTAACAAATCCATCCGATGGTGAACGATTTTGTTTGGGTAGTTTAACAAATATAAATCGCACAGGTGAAATCGAACAAGTCAGACGTCATATTGGACAAGGAGTTAAATTATTTTATTTACAAGGAAATTTATTTGCGGAATGTATGTCAAAGAATCCTGTTTTTGTACAAAGTTTAATAGCAAATAAAAGATTTGACTGGCATCCAGCTACTGTTTGTAAAATTCCACCAAGTAAATTTTTCTATATATTTTGTAAAAATCCAATGTTTATTTCGTTCTCTTTAGATGTTACCTTAAAAATTTTCGACAATGAGGATTTTCGTCAAATATTAGCTCAAGCTGTTCGAGAAGGTTTTAGATCTGTTCATAATTTAACGCACATGTGTACTATTCGTATGAGTTTTGTTAAAGGATGGGGTGTTGAGTATGGAAGACAAGCAGTTACATGTACACCATGTTGGGTAGAAATACGTTTAGATGGTCCATTTAAATGGCTTGATACAATTCTTTCGACAATGCAGCCAACTGAATCAGTTACAAGTGTTTCTTAATAAAAAATTTCTTTAATTTTTTTCTTTTCTTCTTCTAACTTTATTAACATTTTAACGAACTTGTAGACACCGGTTTTTAATTTATCAATTATTCTTTTATTTTTTTTTGTATATAAATAATCGATATTATTTAAAAAAAAAAAAGAAAAAAATATGCTTAAATATAATTATTTTAACGATGTTGTTTAATTCTTTGTAGACAGAAAAAAAAATACAAAATGTCATCAGGATTTAAAGTTGATACAATTACCGAAGGAAATGGTCTGTATTTAATTAAATTATTAATCATCAATTTATTATATTTATATATATAATATATAGGTCAAAAACCAAAAGCAGGTCAAAAAGTTACTGTTCATTATACAGGTAAAAAAATAAGAAAATATTCTTTTATATTCTAATTAGTCTATAATAGGAACATTAACAAATGGAAAAAAATTTGATTCATCACGTGATCGTAATAAACCATTCCAATTTACTCTTGGTAAAGGAGAAGTTATTAAAGTAAGATATATTTTTACATATGCAATTAAATGTTTTATTCTAATATATTTATAGGGATGGGATCAAGGTGTTGCTCAAATGTCAAAAGGTGAACGCGCTACATTAACATGCCCACCTGAATATGCCTATGGTAAACAAAACAAAAAGCGTTTTATTTAAAATTAAATTTTATTTATAGGTAACGATGGTGTTGGCAATGGTTTAATTCCACCCAAATCAACATTACTCTTCGATGTTGAATTAATCGATTTCAAATAAATGATAATCATCTTTGCTCAATAAAAGACATTTAGTTGTAGTGAACTTTTAACAAATCTCTCTTTTTTTTTGTCAACCCTTTAATCACGCCATAACTTATCCTTTTTTTGTTGTCTTTGCTTAAAGCTATTGGATAGTAGTTCAAATACATCATGTTCCTTATAACATCAGATCATTAAATCTACAGCTTTCTAATTTCTATTGTGACCAAATCATCATCGATTTCATAAGAAAAATATTTAAATTGCTTAATTTCATTTATTACGGTAAGAAAATATTTTTGTCGAAATTTTCGATTTATTCGTAAATGTATATGAAGGATCAAGATATTTGAAAAGAAATATGCATCGAGGTCATGTAATAACTGTAAATGCGATCATTCTAATTAAATAAGTCAAAATAGGGTTAAAGAATATGATCATTTCTCTCTCCTTAATTTGACCCTTCGTCCGTATTCTAGGCACGTCCATAACAACTTAAGGCAACTATGAAAATGGATAAATTTAAAAATGTCGTTCATTCTCTTGCACTCAATATTTAGTCAATTGGTTCATTTTCATTTATTACACAAACCCTGGATATACATATATATATATATGTATGGAAAGAACGAGAAAAAAATAATTTATCTTATTGTTTAGTGACTTGTATTCAAATCATTTCCATCTATCTATTTTCACATATACACATGCATATATTCCTCTTCATATATCCTTAACAATTTTATATTAGTTCTAATAATGCAAAATTTTCAAAATTATTCATTATCTTCCAGTAATGGAAGATATATTGTTATTGATAATAAACAAAGTTTTCCTCGTTATGCTTCCAATGATTCTGGTGTTAGTTTTGGTGATAGCGATAATGAAAGTATTATTTCCGATGAATATGAATTTAATAATGAACAAAATTCTTCGGCTTCAACAATAACAATTACTAATGATGGTAAGTAAATATTTCAATTATTTGATTAATTCGAATTATTTTTCTTTTTCATAGCTCATCTAGCATCAACTATACATGATGATGATAAAAAATTCTTTTGTGAAAATACAGCTTGGGCTTGGCATGGCGAATTTGGTCGATTAATCATGGCTACAGCTATGACATATAATATTGACTATCGTCTTATGCTTTATGATGCCCGTTCAAAATGTCCTCGTGCATTAGATGCACAATATTCCATGATACAATTAGATAATGCTAAAGCCCAATTTAAATGTGAAAAATGTGAACATTGTTGGACATCAATGCGAGCTCGTTGTTCATTTTATATTTCGAAACCAAATGAAGGTGGAATTATTCTATTAAAACTTTTCACACAACAATGTGAAAATTGTTATTCAATTGTACATCCATTATGGTATTATGGTAATATTTGAATTCGTTATTTTTCGTTATTTTATAATTTTTTTTTTTAGATGAAATTTGTCGTGTTATGAAAAATTTAGCATATACTATTTTTGAAAAATTTTTTCCTGATTCATTTCATTCGATCTATTGGGATTTAACACATAATGGAATAAGACCAATTCGACGTTTATTACAACGAAAAGGTAATATGCGTGGTCAACATAATCCTTCTTTATGTGAAGCATGCCATCTTGGTGTTTGTTATTAATGATAATAATATGTACATACAAATATATACAGATATTTTTGATATAAAAAAACTTTATTTTTCGATATTCTTCTAATCCCGGAGCGATGTTTCTTGTGTTTTTTTTCTTGTTTTCGACTTTATCTGTAACTATATTTATTTATTTTTTATATACTCTCTGTATTATTTGGTTATCTTATATTGATATTCATGATGATGAAATATATTTAATACAGTAAATGAATTATCTTTTTTGATTGATTTACAAGGCACAAAAAGCTTTAGTTTAATTATAAATAGTAAGTCATGAAATATTTATGTCATTATACTAATTGAAATTAACACAAAAAAAAGATTTATATTGCTTTCTCTCACGACTACTGACATCTTAGTATGTTCATTTAAATTGAAATAAAATAACCAATCATGATCATTGTAAATGTTTGCCATTGTCTAACACATTTTGTTCTTCTTCTATTGATCAACATTTACCTATTTCATTCGACTAAGAAAACGTCAGATAAATCAGATTGACCAAAACTATGGTATTTAAACGTAAAAAACGTCCTGAAATTTCTAAACCAACTAATTTTCAACATCTACGTAAAACATATTTTGATATCAATAGTCAAACATTAAAAGATTTACCACCACAATGGACAAGTATATTAACTGATGAAGATATAGCACGAACAGCTATTGCTGCATATGAACGTCAAAGACAAAAAGAACAACAACAAAATACAAATCAACAATCACGACCAAAACCATTAATTGGTGATCCTAGTTTTATAACTGCATCTGATCTTGAATATCTTAAAGTTTGTTTTTTTGTTGTATTGAAATATAAATTTTTTTTTCGAAAATTTTAGTTCCAAACCATTGTACGTGGTTCAGGATCAAATCAACAAACATCGATAAATCATCGACAAATAAGTCCACCTAAAATTGTGGATGATTTTTCATATTTTACTCATAATCAACCAGTACAAATTCCACGAAATACTCATCTTGATCGTCTTTATAATGTTAAATCACCTGATCTATCTCTTGATATACAAAAACCATCTGTACCAAATTATCAAAATGATTTTATACTTCCATCAA